CTCTTCACGAGCGCTTCACAAGTGACAACTCACGATTCGTCTGCGGCATACGAGGCCGTCAGCAAGTGCACCAATGCAGCCAACCAAATTGTTCAGATCCTGCGCGATTATTCTCAGCATTTCTCCATCACCTCAGCTCCTTACATGCTCTCATATGCGACCTATATCGGTGCCACTATTCATGTCCGGATCGCCGCACAGAAGGGACACGACTCGACATCTTTTAATTGCCTGCTGGTCTGTCGCAGCGTTCTCCAAGAACACGTACGACTCTACGCCGCTGCTGCTAAAGCAATGGCCAATCTGGATAAGCTGATAGCTCACCATGGCGTCAAGATTACTGGCGATGGCCAGACCGAGGCTCATGGGATGAAGAATACCAGTCAATATCCAGTGCGAGAACATACGAGTGGCCCCGAGCTGCCGAGCACACTTTTCCAGAGCACTCAAATTGGTTCCCCGCAATTGAATTGTGGACTCTCGGATCTGGATCTCGAGGCTATTGCTCAAAGCTTCCGGCTTGATTCTGAACTACACTATCTGATGCATCCTGTCGGCATATAGGTGTTCTGCTTGAAGGGACAAAATGAATGAATATATGAAAGGTTGATCAGATCACGATAATGTAGCTCAGCTGCCGAAAGTGTGCCCTTTTGAGGCTGCCAGGACACTAAGACTCAGTTTCATAGTGTAACTGCCAAGGATGCTGCTGGTTGAAACCTAACAAGGCTTTGATCTTCTTGTTCGATATGGGGGCATCTCGAGGTCCCATTTGGCCCGTGAAGGGCACCTGGGGAGAAACGCGCCGGAGAAACTCTGTTGCCGAGGAGGTATAATTCGTGATTTCATCGTTGACCGCATTGAAGATCTGAAAGCCGAGGCCGTCTTTTTGGACAGCAAGATCACACATTTGTCCCAGATCCCTGGCGTCTGTGTACGACCAAGCGTGTGGTGCCCAAGCATTCGGGCTCTCTACATAGCTCTTGAACATCTCCTGTTTGTATTCCTCGGGTGCCACTACTCGGCCGATGCGCAGCGCGTAGATATCGTTGCGGAATCGGCGAGCAAAGCCACGGGCAACACGCTCACCGCACACTTTGGAAATGGCATATGTGTCCATGGGATTGGCGTCAGCTTCCTCGTCTACAGGATACGAGGGGTACTCCACGTCCCCCTCGGCGTAGCTCACTCCATACACCGTGATGGAACTGGCCGTGACGATCTTGTTGATGCCGAGTCGACAAGCAGCTTCGATCACATTGAATGTGGACAAAGTATTTCCGCGAAAGGTCTCATTATCAGGAGCAATCATATTGCGCGAATATCCAGCAAGATGAATCACAGCATCGGGCAGAAGCCGCAGTGGCTCACGGAATGGTTCCGTGAGATGAAAATGAGATGTGAATGCGCTGTAGACTTGACCGCTATCGGTCAAGTCCACTCGTAGGGTGTGGACACGCTTGGCCAAATGATCTGGTAATGGTGCCAAATCGAGATTCAGAATAGCATGGCCCTTGTCAAGAAGATACGCAATGATATGCTGGCCGGCCTTGCCTGAGCCTCCAGTCACGATGATTCGTTTTCCCATTCTCACGCTGGTGCGATATGCAGAAGAAGACCATGCACTGCTCTTGAAATGGATGATCAGGCAGAAAGGGAAGATTCTGTTCAACGAATATCCGCAGATACGAGGATCAGCAGAAGTATTACACGGTCCGAGACAACTCCACTTCTCGGGCATTGAACTGCCTACTTGAGCTCGAGTTGACTGCGGGGAGGACTCTTCGGGACCTGATCTGCCGAATACTCGTCAACCATTTGGATCTGTCTCTAGTCTCTACTCTCTACAGTCCTCTGCAGTGAAAGCGACAAACCACCAGACATTACTGAGTGGCTTTCTTTTCCAAACGAACCTGAAGATGTAATGTGACCTCGGCTCAGCTGTCTCTGAGCACTGGAGCAAGCCATGTAGTTCCATGGCGATGATTTATCGCATGGACCTTTCCATCTCGACTCGGATTGTCATTGTCCGGACTGAATGACTCTCGGCTTGGGCTATTGGAGATGCCGATGAATTCAAGTCTCTAATTGGATGAGAGGCCTGTCAATCTTCCCCGGATCCAGTCCACTTCCAATACTTGCCAATAGGAATGTCTCTTCCCGAACTCGAATGAGTAATTCCCAAGCGTGCGGTTGGACTCTGGCCCGGCGAAATGGAATAAAGGAAAGCCGAAAGCCAGCTGCGAGTGAGCTGATGAAAGAGAATCTCTTCATATCTTTTCTACTTGCATGAATGATTAAGATCACTGTAGCCGTGTCACGATCCTTCACTCAGTCATGTCGTGCGCCAAAAAGTCCTGCGAAGGTTGCTCCTGCAGCAGTAGCACCACTGCTCAACAGCCTGTCGAGATTGAAGATTGCATCAGCGAATTACAGGCGCTTCGTCGACGAAATCAAGAGCTTGAGACTCGTCTAGGTCTCAATCCAGAGCAGAACGCACCGAAAATCACGAGGACTCCCGGTCGCACTTTACGGTCGGCGGCTTGGTTCGACTGTCGCAGTGATCCAGGCATGACGGCCATCTACATGGAGAGATACTTCAACTTTGGTATCACTCGGGAGGAGCTGATGTCCGGCAAGCCGATGATTGGGATTGCGCAGTCGGGGTCAGATCTCGCACCGTGTAATCGGCACCATCTTGAACTGGCGAAGCGGGTCCGAGAGGGCATTCGCACGGCTGGCGGCATTGCTATCGAGTTCCCCACGCATCCGATCCAGGAAACCTCAAGACGGCCAACGGCGACATTGGATCGCAACTTGGCGTACTTGACCCTTGTCGAGATCTTGACGGGGTATTTCTTGGATGGTGTGGTGCTTTTGACGGGATGTGACAAGACAACTCCAGCATGCTTGATGGCGGCTGCTACTGTGGTATGTTCCCATTGAGTAATGAGACTTCAGTCAAGTCTGGACTGTCCATTGACACACGAAGATAGAACATTCCAGCAATCTGTATGAATGTTGGACCCATGCTCAATGGGTACGCCAAAGATACCCTCGTGGGCTCAGGAGCTGTGCTATGGAAAGGCAGAGAAATGTACGCGACGGGCGAAATTGACGAGCATGAATTCATGGACTACATTTCCCAAAGGTATGTCTGCTCTTTCATTGTTTATCATTAGTACCGGCACTGATTTCCTCGCAGTACACCGTCAGTGGGACACTGCAACACAATGGGAACAGCGTCGACGATGAATGCGCTTGCAGAAGCCCTCGGCATGGCTCTGCCAGGGTCTGCCGCGATTCCTGCAGCGTACCGACATCGAGCCCAGTGCGCCTATGAAACCGGCAAACGGATAGTGGAAATGGTGCATCTTGATCTCAAGCCAAGCGACTTGATGACCCGCAAGGCTTTTGAGAATGCGATCGTCGCAAATGGAGCCATCGGTGGCAGCACCAATGCTCCTATCCATCTCAATGCGATCGCTCAACACATGGGTGTCGAATTATCGATGGATGACTGGGACATTCATGGATCGCATATACCCCTCTTGTTGAATATGCAGCCATCCGGCGAATATCTCGGCGAGGAATACTTCCGAGCTGGAGGTCTTCCCGCGATCATGGCCGAACTTTTGGACGCAGGCAAGCTGCATGGGGATGTCTTGACATGTAATGGTCGCACAGTCGCCGAGAATGTCAAGGGCAAACACTCGTGGGATCGTAAGGTCATCCGTCCCTATGAGGATCCATTGATGAAGGACGCAGGGTTCGTCCATCTCAAGGGGACATTATTCGACTCTGCGATCATGAAGACCTGCGTCATCTCTCCTGCGTTCCGCCAACGGTACCTTTCTAACCCGGACGACCCGGATGCCTTTGAAGGCCCCGTGGTCGTTTTTGACGGCCCGGAAGAATATCACAGCCGTATCGAAAATATGCCTGAGATCAACGATCAGACCGTTCTGATTATGCGTGGCGTTGGTCCACTCGGTTACCCGGGTGCTGCAGAGGTTGTAAACATGCACCCGCCAAGTCAACTTCTCAAGAAGGGAGTCGACGCCTTGTTTTGCATCGGTGACGGCCGACAATCTGGCACATCGGGGTCTCCATCCATTCTCAACGCTAGCCCGGAGGCGGCAGCAGGTGGGAACCTGGCGATTCTTCGTAACGGGGACAGGATTCGCATCGATCTGCCAAAGCGGCGAGTGGACATTCTTATCAGCGAGGAAGAGATTCAAGAGCGGAGGAAGGAGGTTTTCTCAAAGGAGTATCCTCTTGTTCCGAGCAGCACACCCTGGCAGGAGATCTTCCGGCAAGAGACTGATCAACTTTCAGCTGGTATGGTGTTGAAGAAGGCAGTCAAGTATCAACGGCTGGCGCAGACAAATGGTCCGCCCCGACATAATCACTGAGCATATTCGATGATTTATTCGGCTTGTCCAGTGATTGTTCAACGTTATGTGAATATGAAAGTGCGGTGAGATTGAAGGTCCATTAGTTGAATACCTGTCATATTCCATGGCATGCGTGCCACACAAATATATTTGATCTCATGAAATGTTAATGAAAAGCAAATTCTGCCTAACCATTTTCATTTCAAACGTGAGTTTCATACAATATTAAGAATGAGCACAGCCCGACACATAAACACGGCTGACGCCTGGTCGACAGACTAGAGAGGCAAAACAATTGTTTCTCCACAAGGATAACCTTCCAACCGTTCGATGCTTGCAACTCAGGAGTCCCGCCTAGGTCTGCGAAATTAAACAAGACGAGTGGACCTTCACTACACGTACACAGTCCTTGTCTAAAGTAATCGGTCCATGAATTTTTTTTTGGCGCAGGCTATAGTCAGATCTCACAGGGCATGGTTAATTGTTCTGTGGGGATACACAGGAGTAAGGCGATCTGCAGCTTTCGGGGCTTCGGATGATGTGGAAGTTTGTTGCGTAAGCGTCAGCAAGGTGATATTGCTCTATATTGGTATTACTTAATAAGCGAGTTTGGCCGAGTGGTTATGGCGTGACGTTTAGGTAATAAACATTACGACCGTCATGGGTACGCCCGCGCGCGTTCGAATCGCGTAGCTCGCATTTTTTTTTCTTTTTCTTTTTGCTTCACGTTGAGGCACCTGGAAGCCATGCAAAATAGAAGAACGACTGCTCTATATGGCGTTTGGACAATGATGACACGGTGCCTACTCTAATACGTTCACGGTGGACACTGTTTTTTTCTTGTCAGACGACCTATTATCGGAAGCTTCGCTTTTCAAGCGGAGCTTGAAAACACGGTTGATTGTTTGTACATGTGCACCCACTTTATCGAATCGACGGCTGAAAAACAAATCTCGTCAATCGACCTTGAAGTACTACGGAGTACAGACTGAATGATAAAGGCTAGTTGATTTTCTCACCTATTTACTCATCACACTGCTCTTTTGCGACCCTCTTTCCCGCTTCGATTGCCTTTTAACCTCATCAACGTTGAACGAAAACAGTCCTCCCCTATTGAGAAAGTCAACAAATAGAGATTGTCTTACAATCTCCTACATATAAACTTGAATTTGAAGCTGTCAACGCAGACAAACGACTCAACTCCTGTATTGATAAAGCCCACAGATGATATCATAAATTCCTTTTGCCCTCTTGATCTTGTCTGGAAGAACCTCCAGTCGAATCCGCAAAAAGATAAATAGGATGTTGCTGCGCTTTGTCCCACCATGACCCCTGCCTCCTAGGTACACAGAAAGCAATCAGCGCCACGGGCTGAAGAATGTCCCAGTGTTTCGGATGATTGCGAACTTCTTCTAATCCACCCAGGCGCCGGCAGCCAGAAGAGGAAGCATTCAACTCACCGTGTGCGCGTAGTTTTGAATGACTACCAACATAACCGGAGGATTGACCGCGATATGTACAAGCGGCTGTGATAGCTAACGGGACACTGTCTGATCTCAATAGAGAACTGAGGCCCATCAACCAGCTGGCGCTAGCTCATTGCTTGGCAGAATCGTAGAGGTGGGATTATCTGGAGTAAAGATCATCCGCAGACGTGGATGACAAATAAGTGTCAGGCTTTAGAATCCGGGTGTGATATGAATGCTCAGTTCTCAAATGTCCACCGCGCGCTATGTAGCAGACGCCCAACCTCACCTAACAGAGGGAAAACAAGGGCCGCACCTCAAGTCACAAGGCTAGAGCTCAGACTTATCTAACGGCGGCGGTGGCCTAGAGCATGGAGAAATGCAAGTCATCTAAGTAGCCGCTGTAGGAGGCCATTGAGCTCGTAGAAAGAGACGATTAGTCAGGATTCACCAATATGAATCAGCCATCATAGATGCAAGTAATTTGACGTTACCTGTAGTGCATAGGTGACAAGATCAGACTAAATAAGATTGACGTCAAGCTTGGCGCCCTGTTGACCGAGCCAGAGGGAACGGGACGTGAAATGTATACGCAAGAAGGGCGTGTTTGTCAGCGAGTCAAGAATGAAAGATAAGCTTGCCCACTGTTCCGTTAGATTGATAGTTTGGCTCATCGTCACCACGGACAGGGCCTTGAGGGAGGTGACCTCTAATAGCTGGTTGTAGAAGTTAGCCTCGTCACCGACAGTGGAAGCACCTGCTCGAGTTACCTGTCGATTATGATCTGGATCTCAGACCGAAAGAAGCGAGTGAGGCTGGTGTTGGCTGTTGTTATTGATCGTCAGAGCAGATACGAGGAGGATGAAAGAGAGGTTTCATAGGAAACGTCCTTGGAAATACCCTCGCAGGAGCTTGTCGCTGATAAATAATAACCTTTGACACAAGATCCAAGTACAGTAGAGTTACGCAGTGCTGTAACTATATCTTAAAGGCTGCCAATTGCGAACTGATTAATAATCTTTCCGTGTGGCAGGATGCTACTTACACGAATCACGCGGCTCTAATAATTACCTTCAACCATGGGCATTTGATAACTTCGCAAGAGTCTCAAACTATAGTCAGGGGAATGAGCAGTACCCTGTGGGGCCGATGTTGTCCACCAAAGTGTGGGGAAAACTCGGAAGTTAGGGCTCGGTCCGATGGGATCAGCCGCCTCATGCCCGGGCCCGCAAGCCATACAACCCGGACTCGATTGGGATGATTCATCAACATACCTGAACACTCATGGCTCGAGAGATACAGTTCTCCGGGGCGGAATGATGTGTCGTTCGCTTTTATAGGCGCCAGACTACATCTGACCCATGTAATACTTCATACCAATACTACCAATTCTTACGAGAGGAGGATCATCGCTTAGAAACGAAATCGAAAAAGATTGAAAGAAAAGAAACAGCCAGATGCTATGAAGTTAATCTGGCAAGCTATTTACATGAGGTCATGGTCAGGATCAACCTAGACTACTCCTTTGTCCATGGCCCTTTTCTCGGGCTCACATCACCTCCTCCCCCTCCTCCTACCCTCCAGCCCCAAGGAGACACACCCTCTACCTCCACTTCCTGCCTCGAGGTGCTCCAGGTGGTGGCCCGAAGGTCGCACTCCACGCCGGCCTGATCACCGACCCATCTCTCAAGACGATGGGCCGGGGAGTGCTGGGCCCCTGGTCGTGAGGGGTACTGGGACCCCGAGGCATCTCCTCCTGCTCCTTGTCTTTGGGGACTGGAGTCCCCCAACTCAGCTTCCCTCGAAGCTCATCTTCAGGCGCCGGCTCCTCTGCTCTTCTCTTGCCCTTCTTCGGGGCAAGATCCGCCGGCGTCTGAGACACCCCATCCTCCTCGCAAGGCCGACGCTTTCGGTCTGCCACGTCCTGCGTGTCGACAGGGACGCTGCCAGTCGCCAAGGAAGCAGGCATGACTGGCTGGCAGGGGACAGTCGGGTCAACTTGACCTTGCTCACTGCCCAGGCGGTCGGAAAGGTCGTCTTTGATTTCGAGCCATTGCTCGGAGGCGTGAGTGTGGATTGCCAGGACCCCGGCGCTGAGGGGATCCGTGGCGAAGGAGGGAAGGAGGGCGTCCAGATAGGCGCCGAAGGTTGCTATTCAGTTCGAAGAAAGCGATCGTTAGTCTGATGTCCACCAGGGTGAATGTATCTAGGCATGATGGTTAAAGACTTACCAGGGGCTGCATCAAGACGAAGCTTGTGCAGGGCGAGGAAGAGGGTGTCCTGCGTGAGGACCAGGTGCAGGTACCACGGCGTAGTGGTAAGCGGGTCCACCACGAAGACCAGGTCCGCCATCAGCTCACCGAGCTGCCACATCACCGCCACGATCGACTTGGAGTTGGGGGAGGACTGCCCCAACACCCGGCTGATCAGATCAGCCTGACCCGAGACGGAAAGGTTGTCATCCGGGTACTCAGAGACCAGCTGCTGAATGTCGGCCCGGGAGAAGAGAGAGAAGTTGGCGTTGGCCATTTTCGTCGACAGGGGTCGGAAGGAACGTGGGTCGAAGGTTGAGTGGTGGTAAGGTGGTGGTGGTGGTAAGCGAGGCGTGGGACGGACGGGGTGAGGAGAGAAAGGAGAAGCTGGGAGGTGAGTTGGTGATATTTATACCCCAAGGGTCTCTCTCCACAGATCTTTAGGCTCCAAAGGTGCGCGTATATCGTGTGCTACTTCAATAGGCAGAGGTGGAAACACAAACAATTTCCGGAACGGGCGAACTGGAAGCATATGGGCAATCATACAACAGGCAGACCAGACATCCAGCGTAAGACAGAAGCAAACAATGCAGGTACACGGTGATCCCCTCTTCAGCTCCGTAGTAATGAACTACTACCTAGAGTGCGTCTTGATAAGCCTCCAATCGGACTTGGAGAAGCTTCGCATCGAAGAATGAAGTGAATGTCAAGTGAGAGCTCTCTGTGTGAGAACTGATCTATCAAGTGAGACCTGTCTGTATGAGAAGTGATCTATTGATGAGACTTCTAGTGCTCACCAACCTGTGGAAATTTAGCATAACGCAGCCAAGACTGACCCGTGGGGTCTCATCAACGACTGCAATACTAATAGAAAGCTTGTTTAGAATAAGGCTCAATTTGGCAATCTACAATTGCATTGAATGAATGGCAGCATGGCTCGATTACTATCCCGTGGATGAGAGCGCTGCCTGTGTTCTGGAGAATGTTTGTTTGCTTCTCTCAAGGCTGCTACTTCTGGTGTTTGCTATGATATCCAAGATGAATAGTTGACGTGTAGGCCTATATCGATATGAATGTTTGCTAGTGGGTTGACCGACAACTACATAAGCCCCCAATCTCTCTCCTCTTTCATCTTTTCCTCCTTTTCTCCCAGGGCTCGCCTTCCACCTCTCTCCTCCGTTCTTGGTTCCACCGTTGTTGGTTCCTCGCTCCTCGCTCCTCGCTCTTCGCTCTTCGCTCCTCCGTCCTCCGTCTTCGGTTCCTCGTGGCACGTTCTGCCAACGATGGCTTCCTCTCGCTTGCCCTCCTTCTCTTCTGGCGATATCGTGCAGCTTGTCTGCCGATATGCCCCCGCCTCCACCGACCTGCACCATCGCGGTGAGGTGAAAGGCCTTCTCGAGCGCGTCGTCGGACAGGGCGACTTTGCTGCAGTTGTCACGAACTGGCAACTCAGCTACCTGGCAGCCACTGTCACCTGCTCCGTCAGAGCAGGGGGCTACCAGTCTTGGACCATGAAGATGGTCATGAATCCAGCTTGCCTCTGGATTGGCCTCTACTCGGCTGCTTCTTCTGTCCCCCAGGACAGCCAACGTAAGTATAAGCCTCCGCGTTGTGATAGGATTGGTCTGTTGTGATCTTAAACTAACGTCTTGGTTTTCACAATTAACAGGCTCTTCAGAGGCTTCCTCTGAGAGCTTCACCGGATGCTCCTCCGTGTCAGGCCTGCTCGAAGGGATAACAGCCTGGCGTTCACTCGACTTCAACAACGAGTGGAACCCCCTCATCCGGGGTTTGTCGGCTTTCCTGGAGAACGGGACTCAGGCCCACGAGCAGGCCGACACCGAGGACGTCATGCACGTCGATCCTGTTGACTCTGTCGACATGTCAGAGGACGACGCCATGACAATCGATGAAGACGACATCTCCAACGTCGACATCGACATCCGGGATTTTCCCACCCCTCCTCCCTCCGACGCGGACA